GCGAGCGCTTTTCTTTGGCGGCATATTCGTAGTTGATAGGGGAAAACGAAAGAGATTTGGTAACGTTGGTGGTTGGTGCGGATAGAAAAAAAAAGTGGGATTGTTGATTTTTGCTTTTTTAGATAAGCGTTTTTTCGGGTAGTAGGGGGTTCCCACTCTTCAGTCAGAGGACTGGAACTGTTTTTTGTTGTTCTTCTTCGCAGTGCTAGGGGCTGCCGAGGACGTGAAGGTAATGATCGAAAAGTCGAAATAATCGAAAGAGTCGAAAGAGTGTTTTTGGTGGTGACCACCGTTCAGGGACATATAACGTTTAAAAACGTTCAGTGATGTATAACGTGGTGTTGCCGTGGTGTTGCCGTCGTTCAGGGACATATAATGCAGATGTGTTCAGTGATGTATAACGTGGCGGTGGTGGGATACTTGCTCCTACAATTTTGAGTTGTAAAGCTTCCTTCCCAGGATGTAGTAATGAGTTTGATTTAATGTCACGGATGCCAACAAAGGATAAAGTGTATACAGCTTTTGAATCAATTGCTAGAACTAAAACCGTAGGTACGAAGAAATCAAACTAAAGAGAGAAGAGAATCTGAAAGGAGCGAAGTTATTTAAGTTGTTCCAATGCCAAGTCTTGTCACGTGCTTGGCCAAGCGAATGAAATCCTGTCAAATGAAATCCAGCTCCGTCACACTTAATAGACTTTCTCTCTTTTATCTCTTAGGTCTTAGACTCTATTAAATAAGATATTACCTTTATTATTCTAGAATAAGGTAGCGCCGGAATCTAACAAGTAGAGGTTAGTAACTTTAAAAGTATCTTTTATAATCTAAAGGATATAAGTTATACGCTAGTCTCCTATAATATTAAATATTAAATTAAGGATTTTATAGCTTATTTTTAGTATATTTTTCCTAGTAAAAGTAGGGAATATAACCCGGAGACTATATTATTATATTATATAATAATATAATTTTAACAACCCTATAAGTTATATATAGAGGTACTAGACTTAAGTTTCGGTACACCGCTTTTTGGCAGAATGACAGCGCTATATGAATTTTGGTGAAGGGAACATTCTTCTAAAAGGCGGTCTACCGAAACTTAAGTCTAGCACCTCCGTAAGGGGCCTTTTTCTCTTCCTAGTAGGCTATATTTCCATCGTAAATTGCAACAAATCAGCATTGCAGAATTATATTGATGGAAGGCTGAAGGAAGTTTTACCGAGGGGCGTTATTAAACTTTTCACTAGGAGCGAATAACAGAGCTTTGTTTTGTGCACAGGCGATGGAAGTGGGATTTTACGTGATTGTCAAAGTGAAGCTTGTGTTGGGGGATGCATACTCATTTCTTCGCCCGTACTATTTCACGAGTCAAACAGTTGAGTTTGCAATCAGGTAGGCCTTTGATGGCTGATGGGAGTTGTATGGAAAGATACTTCGTACTTCCCGACGAGTGAGCAGGTGAGTAGAGGATTGAAGCTGCATTTCTAAATTTATATACCAATTCGGTGTGCTTCAAATGTTATACAAAGATCTCGACCTCACCTCTTTCTCACTCTCCATCTCATTTGTCATCATCTTCTTACACATTCCTCGGACTTCCTAGGTTTTTTTTCCTTTCATCACTTTACCAAATTCTTCATTTCCAATCTACCATCTTTACAATTCTACCCTTCAACTTCCACCTCCTCATCAACTCTTCTTTTCCGCAGCTCAACCTAACAACCCAGCAACAAAACAAAATGCAATTCCCAACCATCACTATCTCAGCTCTCACAGTCCTCCTCTCCCTCGCCGCCCTCTCCGAAGCAGGAGCAAGCTGCAAAGGAGTCTACAGACCCTTCCGCAACTCCTTCGTCGTCGAAGCAGACGAGGTACCCAGTATTTCCGACATCTGCAATGGATTCTATGATAACCGTCTGCACCCCTCTCACCCAAACCACCCTCACAACCCCCACACTAACTCCACAACACAGTAAAACCAGGCTGCGCCCTTACCGGCGGAAAATGCGGCGGCACCAACCACAAACTGCACTGGGACTTCAACATCCCGACCACCTGCGGCGACCGCCAAGTCCAGGACGCGTGGTGGGCTGCGACGCGAAATAAGTACGGCAGTATTGTTTGTAAGATCGAGAAGAGTAATGATATTTTCGGGCGTCAGCATCCTAAGGATGTCCTCGCTGAAGCTGTTTCTGTGGAGTAGACTTCTCGGTTAGCTTTAAGGGATGGAATGATTGTAGTAATTCATTTGGGTTTTTGAGATAGTTTGTTGGTTTTGTTGTTGTTTTGGGTGCTGTGGAGGTGTGGAGTTGTGGTATGGGGTTTTGAAATTGAGGGAGAGAAAGTATGGGTGAGGTGAGGTGTTGGTATAGATATATCTAGAATATCAAGATAAAGAAACAAGGTATACGATATTCAGTCAAATGTTGTTTAAGTGCTAAGGAGTGTTGTTATTCTAGTACTTATGGTACTCGAACAGGTGGATCTTAACATGTGACATAAACAAAAGGGGATCGAATATATCCCAACACTCGCAATACTTTAAAGAGAGTACAAAAGAGACAAACACATATAGAATAAGAGAGTCCTCCCATCATCCTCGTTCCATCTAGGCGTTTGCCTTGATCTCGTAGGTGTTCGAATCAATCAGGTCCTTCAAAGCGCCATTTGCGTTTGACTTCGTCATGGCATCCGTGGGGTTGTTATTGCCTTCGATCCACGTCAGATAATCGATATCTTTCATCTCGAAGGCATTCCGCAAACACATCACGTCAATCATCAAAAGTTTCTCTTTCGTCGTCCCAAGTTTGACGAGACAATCGTATATGGACTTGGAGTCTGTACAGATCTCTAGTGGCACGTGTTGCTTAATGATTTGGTTCAAGGTTGTTTTGACGTAAATGTCCATCTCGTAAGCTTGGTCTTGGCGAGAAAACATCTCATTCAAGCGTCTTTGCTCGCATTTGAGATGGGCTCCGGTGGTAGGCGGTTCAAGAGAGGATTCAGTTGCAATTTCAGCCACCTCCTTTTCTGCTACCTGACGAATCTTGGTCAGGAGTTGGGTAATTTGAGGAGACATCGAGAAAAGAACCTTCTCTCCGCGTAGAAACCAAAGTATTTGATCCGGCTCGCACTCTGCGCCAACGGCCTAAATGGCTAGGTTCTCGCGGCGCGAAGTTGAAAGGTATTCAATTTATTACGATCTTATAAATTTAGGAGTTGACTTTTGTCAATACAGGTATATAAAATATCGTGCATTTTGAGAGTAGTAAGAGCGAGATATGGTTCCTTCTGCTCATCCACTTGGGAGGTCAGCTGTCCCAACGCTGGGGTGTTACCAATCGCAGCAATGTACTTGGGGTACTGGCTTTGCAAGTGGAAAGCAATTAAGTGCTCACCGGCATCTTGCTCGAAGTTCGCAAACAAGTCCGGGTATTGTGCGGCTTCCACCCTGCATTTTTCGACCCGAATCCTATGATTGTCGTTCATAGGGGTATCAGCTTGCCTGGGAGAAGATACGACACCAGGAAGAGAAGAAGCCGGAGATGATGGGTTTGGTAAAACCTGAAAGAAACGGTTGTTTCCGCCAAGGACCACCCNGTCGTTCATAGGGGTATCAGCTTGCCTGGGAGAAGATACGACACCAGGAAGAGAAGAAGCCGGAGATGATGGGTTTGGTAAAACCTGAAAGAAACGGTTGTTTCCGCCAAGGACCACCCGCCTCTGTTGCCTCGGAACCTAGAGCAAACCGTTAATTAAATGTAATATCAGTCAATGACTAAAAGATCCATACCTGAGCCAGCCAACAAAGCTTTACCCACCCTCCCACCTCCCACCCATTCCACGAAGAAACCCAAAGAAACCTAACCCCCTCTCCATCCTTCCTCTTTACAAAGAGGAATCAATCGTTTGGATTCCGATCGACGAATATGACACCACAAGAACAGCGCTCGAAGATCGTTCAAAACAATCTGCGCAATGCTCATTCCGATAAATGGAAAGTATCCAGGCTCATAACTGTCGCGTAGGGAATAGAATAGCTGGTAAAATGGCTGCTGAGGTCTTTCCAAAAACTTTCCTCGCTTCCTCAAATACCATGCGGAAGCGAGGAAAGTCGATGGTTGAGAAATTCAATGCCCTCTCGAGTCTCTGTGGCTTCGTGAGAGAAGGGAGAAGTGTAGAGGGCACACGGTTATATACCATGAAGCAATAGTAAAGTGGGATATGGGCACTTCTCGGTTTTTGGCTGCGGTGTCTGAAATGGGTGGTTATCGTGAGGTGATGTGATTTGTATAGTATCCACTTCCAAGTTTCAATCTGCAGGCGGATGTTACTCTATTTGGGTCCCCTCTATTTCTATCTCCTAAACTGCCCGGGAGGTTTTTTTACGTATATTCTTAAGGACCTATACGACTTTGTTAGTGTAAATCTTTGGGATTAAAATAATTTGGTACTACTATAATTCCGTCTTAGGTAAAACCCCAAGAGATATAAGGATTAGTAAGCGAGGGAAGTCCAGGGAGGTGTATCACATGACTAAAACGTAACCAAAAGTATTTCAAATTCCACCTTAACATATAACATTTATTAAGAACCCGCATCGTTCTCTCAATTTCCGATCTGATGCAGGAGATTTTGTGTTGATTTCCTTACTTGTTCGCATATCTCTCATAGAATCGATAGAAAAATAAGATTTCAACATCCTATTCCCTTTTCCATTATGTAAATCCAATCAAATCCAAACCTTCCCAAATCCAAAATCCAAATCTTAACTCCACCCCCAAAGAAACCCTCATAACAAAAAATTCCCAAACAAATACACAATACCCATGCCAAACATCCACCCTCCCCTACCACGACAGGAAGCCAAACTCGAACTCCCATCCTGAAAAGGCGAACCATTTGTCTCCGCCGAGTTAGGAGATGTCGATGTACTCGTCCTACTCCCCACCGTTGCTCCTACATCCCCTCCTGTCCCCGTTCCCGTTCCCGTTCCCGTTGAACTTCTCGTCCCGCTAAGCTGTGTAACAGCAGAGGAAGAAGTACTAGCTCCAATAGCCTGGGAACTAGGTCTCGTTCCTAGATACGGATACAACGTGGACGCTTGTGTTGTAGCCGTCGTTTTTGGGGAAGAAGGATCAGGAGTGGTGGTTAGTGTACCTGTACTCAGAGGCGGGAGAAAGGTTTGTGTTGGGATGGTTGTTATTATTATTGTACCGCTGGGTGTTTGTACCGATGAGATTGGTATTGGATGGCCTGCTAATTGGCAGGCTAGTTGGAGGGGGGTGAGGAGGGTGGTGGTGTCGAGGTGGTTTGTGCAGGTTGTTTGGACTGGGGAGTTTAGAACTAAATTTGATGTGGATTTTTGGGGGAGATAGGCACTTACTACATGATATTATGCTTGAGAGGACATTTTCCGTTGAGACGCAGAGACAGGGGATGTCGTCGCTGGAACACTTTATATCGGGCGATTGTTCGATACATTCTTGTACGCAATTCGGCAGGGGAAGAAGGTGGGAGTTGACGAGGCGAAGTGAGGGGATTGATATTGAGAGGAGGGTGATGAGGTACTTTAGCGACGGCATCTTTCTATCCTGTCAACCTTGATCGCTCGAATGTTCCCGTATTTCCAAATATTCGTGATCTAGAGTAAGATTCGAGAGATGCTTTTCATCACTCGGTCAGAATGATTCCGTTTGAGACGGAAGAAGTTAAAGAACTCCTGCATTTCCACGTCAGGGATTCAGTTCCCTTCCCGGTTTGGATTTTGGGATGCATGTCTTGTACATCAGAAACGAGGGGCCGGTTTACTCATTGGTTGTGAAGGTCGGTTGTGGCTGGAGTGCATGCACTGCCACTTGAAGATCACAAGAAACTGCTTCCACATGACGAATTTGTGAGACTCTCGGGATAATATGTAGCGTGGTGCCGGAACTTGCTTTATGAGAAGGCTAGGATGATTAAAGAAGGGAAGTTTCCGCGAAATCAACTTTTTATAGATCTATCTCACTTCTGTCCAGTATCGCTCGCTTGTTGTCTTAGATAATAAAACAACAAGAAAATATGAACTATCAACCCCCTCCCCCACTCATAATCCATTTCAACATCTACTTCAGCAAACCAGCCGCCTCCTCACCAGGAAAATACCTCATCAAAAGCCCCATCGTATCATCACCCGGCCTGGGCGCCGCATGCGTCTGCACAAATCCGAATTTCCTATACAAACTAACAGCAACGATATTATCCTCATCAACACCCAGCGTAGAAACCAGCTCCTTGCCCAAATCAGCGGCCTTTTGAATTTCCCACTTGAGAGCAGTTGTCATCAACGTCTTAGCGACCCCTCTCCCCCGAACCGAGGGATTGGTAAATACCCAGTTGATGCTGAAATGTGCATAGGTAGGATTGGGATTTGGGTCAAGGTCTTCGGTGGGAGGAGACCAGGGGTTTCTCACGAAGCTTTGGGGGTTAGAATATACTGGGTTAAACGAAATTACGACGCACGAAATACAGTAGAGTTGCCCAAAGGGAGGGGGTAGGACGTGGTGTGTTGGGTTTTTTTTTCCGGTAAAGAAAGTACTCACTCAGGATGGTACTGCTTAGGTCCCACAACTGTGATTGACCCGACCATAACATCGCCTTGAAAAGCCATCCACGTTCTGGCCAGCGGATTCGCGAGACGGTCGTACCAGATTTGATCACTCAAAGCTGCTTCACTCGCGTAGGTCGTGCCGAAGGACTCAGGAGCGACTTGGAGTGTGAGAAGTCGGAAGGCTTTGTAGCGTTCTATGTATTTTTTTATACTGGCTTCATCGCGGGGGATGTGAATAATTTCTATCCCGTACATTTTGCGTATAATATTTGGGTAGAATATTATGGTGCTGGTGGGACAAAAATTTAAGTGATATGAGAATGTTGTACAGCAGGAAACGTTTTGCTTTTAATATGAGTCGTTTTGGAGTGTGGCTCCTTCGCCGGTTGTCAGCCTGGAGGAAACACCCGCACAAGTACGGAGGTAGGGTACCGATTTGCTTTCAGGTACGTACTTGTAATTGTGTGACTATAGAGCTTCAGTGACGTAGCCATCTAGTGATCTATTGTAAACATAACTCGGTAAATTATTAGCACTTTATAGACGACAGAAGTATGTACTACTTTCGGAGTAAGCAACAACTCCCCATATGAATGTTGGTGTTTCGTTTCATGATGGTTGTACATGTGGGGGAGATGACATCCAAATAAGGAAGCTTGTCTTGCGGGTCCCATGAGGGTTCTTCTGTGGGGATGATGACCCTGGAAAAGGTCCATCCTGACAGCGCTTCAGCGGTTGATCCGCGTGTGCCACTCGCCCCCAAGGTATCATCAACCCCACGAGGCTGCAGGCGGGTGCCGGCCCAGACGCAGCGCAGGGCAGGCCTCCCGTTCATCAGCTGGCGCTTCCGCTTCCTTCAGCAATAAGAAGGCTGTGACTGTCGCTTCTCCGTCATGTCTCTGTGTTTTCCTCGATTTCTCTTCTCTTGCTTCCTGTATATTTCCTAATCGCGAACCGCCGTCACGATCACGATGGAAAATGGCAGATTCGAGAATTATGACGATCCCGATATATACGCCGAGGGCCAAAAGAAAGTCCTCGACATCGCGAGCCAGAATTTCGTGATTGAATTCGGACGAGAAGAGGCTCAGATCGCGTTCAACCTCGAAGAAGACGATTTCAATAGATTACTAACCGACACACGACCGCAACAGCGACCGATTCGATGGATGTAAGGTTCCCGACGTTCCGTTCCGCCCCCGCAATAACAACTCTAACAACAAAACCAGAAACATCTGGGGACCACACAAGCAAGAAGCAGCCATCACGCGAATTGCCAAACACTATGGCTTTTCCAGTAGACTCCATGCTGTGATTAGAGACACGCCCATGCCCCGTAAACCCAAACACAGCGAGCCGAAATCCTATCATTTCTCGTATCATGGGCATAAGGACGATGATCTGGAGAAGGGAGAGATCACCTCGGAACAGGAAAAGGTGAAGGAGAGGAAATCTTTCTCGATGCAGTCGGCTGCTGGGCATTACCATATCGTAAATAAGATGACGAATTACCATGCCATTGATTTTGGGGAGAAGTGTAAGTTCTTCTAAAGTTCGCTTGTTTGGGTTGTCCGCGTCCTAACGTTTTTTTGCTTCTTGGAGTTATTTGTGTGGGTGCGAATTGGATGCATGAACAAATGCCCGAGGATAAGAAGATAAATTTAGGAACTGATATATCGGGGAAACATGAAGAAGAAGAAGAAGAACATCGTCGGCTATATTCATGGCTGGTAGTTTGTAATGACAGTATGTATCTCTCGCCTAACTACAATAATTCTTTACTAATTGCATTAGGCACCGTTATTTCATTTCACGAGCATGTCGACGATATCAAAAACCTGGAAAGTGCCCGGTCGAATTTAAAAAACGTCTTCTGTCAACTATCATTAATTGGGATGCGCGAAAAATCCGAGACACCCATTGCAATGATATCCCTCCGAAACGAATTAAGCCAAAATGGCTTTCAGGACTGGGGTAGCGAGGGAGCAAGTAATCTATTCTATTATCTATTTGATGATTGGCAAACAGTATATCAAACCGTGGAAAGATTTCAGGATAAATTAGAAGCTTTAGTAAAGAGCCCTATCCCCCAAATGAAGAAAAACAACTAACACAACGCAGGGCAAAAGAATCTTCGACAGCTCAGTACATCTCCTCCATCCCACCCCACATTCCCATTCCCAACTAACACCATAACAGTCCCGCAAATCCGTCAAACCAATCCAAAAAGAGATCGTCCCCCAACTCCACAAAATCGGCTACAAGATCCGCCAAATGCAGCACGTCTACGAAGGCTACAAAAACCTGATCCAACGGGTCCTCCAACCCGCCAAGCAACCCGGCACCAACGGTTCGCGAACCCCCAGTTCCCCCACGTCGGAAACGATGCAATTCGCCCCTCTGAATGGGCGTCAAGGACCCCCTCTGGCACCCTCTGCGATATCGAGATTCGAGAGACTAGGTGATAGATTACAACTCCTAATCCTAAGCGAAACGAAAGAACTCCTCCTCGAAAAAGACGCTTTAGCAAATACCGTTTGTCCCCCCCTTTCCCCATCCATCCCCCTGCCAACTAAACAAACCCAGTACTTCAGCATCAACGCGCAAAAAGACTCCGAAGCCACCGCACGCCTCACCCGAGCCGCAGGTCTCCTCGCCAAGCTGTCCGTCCTCTTCCTCCCCGTCTCGCTCATGACATCTTACTTCTCGATCCAGATCAAGGACCTCGAGGGCGTGTATTCAGTGACGGATTACTGGTACTCGTTTGCGGTGATTATGAGTATTTCGTTTCTTTTGCTGTTCTTTTTGAATCGTGCTTTGATGTGGGTTACGGAGAGTTTTGATGGGGTTGTGAAGAGGGGGGGAAGGATGTTGCTTGAGAGGGGATGGGGGAGTGGGGGGAAGGGGAAGGGGAAGGATGTTTGATTTTTTTCCTTCTACCTTCTTTTGGAATTAGGGGTAGAGGGAGTGAAGAAGTGAGTGAGGGGTGTTGGAGTGTTAGTGGGTTGGTGGTGTTAGGGTTTCTCTGGGATGGGGATGGTGTTTACACGGGGCAAGTATATACATTGACTAATATCTAGCGCGCGCTGCTTTTGCGGGAGGTATGATACCCAACCATCTCCACATTTCTCTATATGATATCCCATTGATTTAGCTGCAGACAATGACTTTTTTCTAAGAGAATACAAACAAACGAACGATATTCCTTGCAGACTAGGGATATATAATACCTAGCCATTTCCATTTCCATTTCCCCTCTGATATTACAACGGTACTTAACAAAACTACCCCCGAGTTAATGAAAAAGTCCTTAAATACCCCTTGCGTAGGTAATTACGAATTAATAGGACTTCCCCCTAATCTATACCCCATAAAAGAGGGGTAGTTCTATTAGTACTACTTAGAAAGTAGGGTATTTTTATTAGTAAATAAAAGTCCTGGGATTTTATTTCTTTATTAGTTCTTATATAGTTATAAATATAGTAGTATATTATTACTAGGAATATACCTATAGAAGGTTAGAAGCTAGGAGAGTTATATTTAAATAACTAGGGAGCTAAGTATATATAGGTAGGAGTCTAGCTTATATAGCCCTAGCATATACCCTGTAACGAATACTCAAACTGGCTAACTAAACTTGGCTGGGTGTTCGCTGGTTGGTATGCTATGATAAGAAGAAGACTATCGGGTTGTTCACTTGGAAGTGAACTCGTTACTTGTATCAAAGATGTCAAACTAATATGATAAGATTGATAACTAAGTTGAGCACGAAGCTCCTATCTAATGGCAGACGTGCCAGTCTTATATAGAACCTTCGTTCTCTGATTGATCGCTCTAGTCGCTCGCCCTGATCGCTTCAGTCGACAGGCGACTCAGGCGACTCAGGCGACTAGATCACGTGATTTTCTAACCAGAAGAAATCCCTGGATCGCTTAGCTAGTCTAATTGATCCCTTTTTGCTATAAGTCCATGGATGTGCTTAACCTGTCAGGACGCCGCCTGGTCTTCCTTTGTCACATGCATTGCTACACGTGATTCGTGACAATGGCCCGAGCCTCCATCATGGGTTCCAACCCTCACAAGGAGTACTAATTAGTTAGGATTAGAGTAGGAAGGAGAGTGCTCTAATGTATACGAATAGAAACGGAGATTTCGTAGAATAGAAGTTGTAGGAAAAGGTTTAAAGGGGAGATTCTAAATACTAATTAAATAACTCGTTAGACTTACCTTCTACTACCTTCTACTATTACTAGCGTTATTTTCGAATTAGATAATAATTATAGGTCTCTATAAACTCGTTAATTTAGTACCGAGGAACGTTTATATAAATATATTATAGTATAATTCGATTTAATTTGAACTATTAAAAAAACCTACCTTTTCTAAGCTTTAAAAGTATTCTATCTACTAGTTAGTCTATTAATTAATTAGTATATACTACTACTAACTTACTTAATATATTAATTCTTTATAGAAGTACTATATATCTAAGGCTTAGATAAATAAAGGCTAGGTTTTTACTTATAGCGAAAATATAAATAGTATACTACTATTAAAAGAGTCTTCGCTCCTTTATTTACTTATATAGTTTTAGGAAATCCGAATATCTTAATAAAATAAAAGTAGTATTTTATATGAGTAACCTATGTTCGATTTAAAAGGCCGATAAAATATCTAAGTATTCTATATAAATAAGCGTTAATAAATCTATATATCTAGAAGCTATAGGAGGTAAGTGTAACGAATACTCAAACTGGCTAACTAAACTTGGCTGGGTGTTCGCTGGTTGGTATGCTATGATAAGAAGAAGACTATCGGGTTGTTCACTTGGAAGTGAACTCGTTACTTGTATCAAAGATGTCAAACTAATATGATAAGATTGATAACTAAGTTGAGCACGAAGCTCCTATCTAATGTCAGACATGCCAGTCTTATATAGAACCTTCGTTCTCCAAATCCCAAATGTCGACAGCGCGCTCGTTGTGCTGTCGCGCGCGACAATTCGCTTGTCGCGCTTGTCACGAGTCACGTGCACACGTGACAAGTGAAGACCAGACGGCGTCATGACAAGCCGAGCACATATGGGCCTGGGAGCTTTATGTGTTCTGGGAAACC